TCAATTTAAAGACCACTGCTCCACAAATCTCTTCAACCTCAATATTTTATTTATACTTTTACTCTTTTTTTTGTGATTGTATTGCAATAGCTTTGGATAAGTAGATAAATACAAATGAAATTTTGAGGTCATGGCCAAATTTGTCGTTTATCCCAGAAAAGTGAAAATATCTCAACAATGGAGTCTAGTATTTGGTTAAATTTCGTGTCATGGTAAATGATTGATTTCAAGATACATGATGTTGCTCCTCAAAAATATTCCATGGGATTTTCAGGTCTTCCTGTTTCAGAAGGCTGCGATGCATAAGTGCAATATGGCTGGAAAACCAGCAGTCATAACACGTGTTGTAGATAGTATGACAGACAATCTTAGACCTACACGTGCTGAGGCAACTGATGTTGCTAATGCTGTACTGGATGGTAATTTTTCAATCTTATTTATTATTCTATCAAATAAGATCATGTTTTTCAAACGAAATTGAATTGATTCGGAGTGGTGCAAGAACACTTTGAGGTCCATGCTACCCCACCCCATCATTTTTGGCATCTTTCTGGCTTCAGCCTTTATATCACAGTTCTCATGCAAATAAAAAAGTAGGTAGTTAGGCATGTTGCAATGTTTTTCACATTGTCTGTCATGGATTTGTTGTCTAAATTTAACAATTTACTGTCATAACCTTTAATTATAGGAACGGATGCTATTCTTCTTGGTGCTGAGACTCTGCGTGGTCTGTACCCTGTCGAGTGTATATCCATTGTGGGCAAAATTTGTGCTGAGGTAAGATTAGGTTGGAACAGTTAGAGAACCAAGCCCGTGATTTTCTAAACCTTTAGCATTGTGATCTTGTTATAAATATAATGGTTTTCATAATCTATTTTTTGATTTATGTAGCGTAATTGATTAACTCCTACTTTTGCTGCTGCAGTCAGAAAAGGTTTTTAATCAAGATTTGTACTTCAAGAAGACTGTCAAATTTGTTGGGGAGCCTATGACACACTTGGAGTCAATTGCCTCCACTGCGGTAATTTTTTTAATGTGTTGCTCTTGAATTTGACATCACTTTTCCCCTCTGAATGAAACTGAAAAAGAGTAGATTCTATAAATAGTCCTTCGGAACATGGTGTTTCCCGTATATAGTCCTCAATTCTAAGATATAATGTTCGTGGTCTTCTATATTTGAGAAATGCTCTATAATCATTTCTTTGTGGACTATATGTGGAAAAACATATTTGAGTCTAAACGACTGTTCATGGAATAGTTCTCAAACATAGAGGAGCACAAACATAATATGATTGAGGACTACACATGGAAAACATTTTGTTGTAAAGGACTACTTATAGAATTTACTCATTGAAAATGTACAAGAATATCATCCATAAAGCTCACATTTCTCAAATGAAGATTAGAATAAGTTCATTTCTCTTGTCACGTAGGTACGTGCTGCCATCAAGGTGAAAGCATCTGTGATTATTTGCTTCACTTCATCCGGAAGGGCTGCAAGATTAATAGCAAAGTATCGCCCAACAATGCCTGTGCTATCAGTTGTCATTCCTCGCCTCAAGACAAACCAACTCAAGTGGAGTTTTAGCGGTGCATTTGAGGTTATTTCCTTTTTTTTCACTCACGACCAAAATGTCACACGTTTACATCTAGTAGTGTACATGTTTGTGTATGTGTGTTTGCATAGGGCATTGTAGTTTGCTTATTGGACTAAACGAAAATAATAATGAAACAATATGGTATAATTTTTTATGAAGTTTTGGACACATTAAACTTTTTTAGCTTATTACTTTTGATGAAGTTTTGGACATTGAATGCATCAAAGGGTGTAACAGAAACAACTTCTTTGTTATTTACTGGGGTATGGTTGTGTAGATCTTGACCCCCCAGACCCAACAGAGTTGGGTTTGTCTTATTTTCACAATGAGTTTTCATCGTTAAACCAGATCACATTATCCCTTTTCAGTCTAATCATTTGTAATAAACTTTTGAATTTGTAATAATCACAATTAGTTTCTGTGTGTGTTACTTACTGCTGTTAAACCTTGTGAGTAACATAATCACTACTTATGTTTCTAGGCAAGGCAATCCCTTATTGTTCGTGGTCTCTTCCCTATGCTTGCTGATCCTCGACATCCTGTAAGTTTTCATTTCAAGCTGTCACCCTTTTCTCTAGAAGACTATGAATAATCTTTCCAAATAATCCCTTAGATGTTTCTAAGGTGCAAACCAACCTAATTCTTGTCCGTTTTTACAGGCTGAGTCTACAAATGCCACAAATGAGTCTGTTCTAAAAGTCGCACTTGATCATGGCAAGGCCTCCGGGGTGGTGAAGTCGCACGACCGGGTTGTTGTTTGCCAGAAAGTGGGAGATGCATCTGTGGTCAAGATTATCGAACTTGAGGACTAAAAGCGGCTACACGTTTTCGCATCATCTCTCTCACAGTTTTTCGCGGTGGAGGTGGGCCCCACTTAAGCCGTTACTGTGACTGGGGATTGCGTGTTTTGGGTTCATACAATTTCACGTATAATAACGCGTAGTTTGTACTGATGGGTAAACCTATTGATCCAAACCCTTTTTTTTTGTCTGCTTGTGCTTTTGAAATTGAAGCTGTCTGTATTTCAGGATTTTTTCAGCTTTGTGCATCATTTGTTGCCACACTTCAAGAATAAAAGTCTAGCAACTAATTGCAAAGTATTATTCTTTTGGAAATATCAACACAAATTCCGTATGGCCCCCCTTCTTTTAATAACATGTGTTGCCATAATGTGACAACAAACGCAATTGGGGCCTGCACCTACGGTGTTTCGTTCGAAATGACGGTTCCTATCCCCTTAACCCCGTCCCCTCGAATCGCTGATTTTGGTCAAAAGACTGTTAGTTCTTGTTTTGGTTTACAATGGTTTGGTTATACTCCATGTAGTTATTTTCAGTTTAATAGGAGTATATTTTAAAAATTGGTTAAGATAATTAGAAATAAAAATATATATATTTGCAAATTATATCAATCAATGAAAATTAAGTAAGAAAAAGATATAAGTTGACAATATGGATAGTAAAGTGGAATCTTGTTTTGGGATAGTAGTATTTTTCCAGTTGCTTGAATGTTGAAACAATGAAACCAATACTTCATTGCTATTGAACAAAAAACTATGACACTGAACTAGTACTACTATTTTCCTTTTTTGTCTCTAGTTTTGGGTTCAAAATCAAAGTGAAAATGTAAAATTCATCCGTAAATTATGTCAAGCATTTTATCATCAAAATACATATTAGTACTTCCGTTCTAAATTAAAATACATGTTTATTGTTCACAAGGTCAAATTTTATTCACTTTCTTTTTCTATTTTTTTAGTCGTTTGATAAAATAATATAGTCGTGCCACCACTAGTTTTGTAGATCTTTTAATGTAGTTTTTAAATTTGTAATTTTGATTTTTTAATTATACACAAATGTTTATATAAAATGATTTAGAAATAACTTCAGTTGAAAATCGTAATTCGAAACAAGCAATTTTAATTGAGACAGAAGGAGTAGTATATAATTTGATTCATACTCCCTCCGTCCCAGTGTATTTGTCCAGTTTGACTTTTTCGAGTCAAACTGGACAAACTTTAAGCTTCAATTAAATAAAAACTGTAATGTATTTTAACATAAAAATGACTTTATTGGATTTATCGTATTGAGAACTTTCAAAATTACATTTCATTATGCTAATATGCAATATAAATTGAGAGCAATTGGAGTTTAAAGTTTGTCCAGTTTGACTCGAAAAAGTCAAACTGGACAAATACACTGGGACGGAGATAGTACATTACAATATCATAAACTCAATATAATTTGTGTTCATCGTTGGATTTCAATTAAAATCAATGTCAACGCACAATTTTTTTGATCGAGTATTTTGATATGTGATGGCTTTAGATTAATGTTCGTCTTAGCTAACACAAGGGGATGAGTGGAAAGTTTTCATGTATTTTTGTAAGAAGGGCGTTATGAACCAAAAATTGCTAAGTGAATTTTTGAACTCATAAGTGGAAAGACGTTTTTCGTATAGTAAGAAATATTTGAGCAAATTGGTAAAAGAAAGTCTTGATTATTTTCGCAAAAAAAGTCTCAATTGTGCAAAAGCAATTGTAAGACCAATAATGTTGTATGGGCGAAATGTTGGCCAATGTACATATATGCAAAACTTCGAGTACTAGAAATGAGGATGTTAAGATGGATGCACGGAGGTACAAAGATCTGTGTAGAATAAAATGCGCGAAGCTAGACTGTGATGACTTGGGCACGTGATGTTTGGGTGCTAATGCTTCGGGTGAGGAAATATGCAAAAATAGAGATATGAAGTTTGAGGGGTAAAGAATTAGAGATAAATCAAATAAGAGTTGGAATGAAGCCATCATCAATACTAAAAGATTGGTGAGCAAATAATAAAATTATAGTACTACGTATATGGCTATATGCTATGGATGGATACAAGTCATTCTCTCTGTATTATATTCCTTGTATCAACTTAAATTGCATGTCATATTCACATGATCAAATTTTATTCATTTTCTTATCAATTTTTGTTAATTACTCCGTATTTTATAAAAATAGTCATTCAAATTTTCATCATTTTTGTTAATTATTTGGTAAAAAATAATTATGTCACCACTCGTGTTATAGGGCTTTTGATGTAATCTTTAAATATATAAATTTTATTTTTTAATTCAACCCCAAATGTAATACAAATTTATTTGAAAATAACTTTAGTCAAGGAGTATAATACTTCCAAGATTTTTTTTAGGTCTCGGTTATGCAAGCATTTCAAATACTCCGTAAGTTTTTTCAAGAACGGAGGGAGTATAATATTTGATAAATATGAAATAAATAAAAATAACTTCATTCATAAATATTTATTTGTAAAATTATTTTTATAAACAAATTGTTCTAGTTTGGGCAGATAAATTGCGAGCACTCCCCAAAATGTTGCAACAAAAAGGTGAAGCTCTTGCAAAAAACAACACAGTTATTGAATTGATTTAGCTCTATCTGTGGTGGTCAACAATTTCATCCTTTTGGTTTTTTCTTGACTGGTTAGAGTGTGCAGCTCAAATTGCCCATCTCTAAATATTATCTCTGGAAGAGCGCTTCAGGCCTAAACACAGAGAACCATTTTTCCTTGGGAGTCATCAGCGTGCTAGCATTAGCCTACTATAACTGTCAAATAATATGGCTTGTTCAACTACAGTAGCAACACTAGGACCAACACAATTGCAATAACCACCTATATTTACATAGTAAAAGATTTCGTCTATAAATGTCTAGTTCATCTTCAAACAGTCTATTTTATAAATAAATCTTTTATCATTAAATTTTTGTTCCAACAAAAACCTGAGCACAACTAGTTTTCCGCAGAGCCCGACCGACATTCTTACTTGCCAGAAAGTAGGGATTAGAGAACCGGATGGCCTAAACATAATCAATCATTTCAAAATTAAAAAACAAGAGAACATTCTGCCATAGGTCTGAATTACTGGTGGGATACAAGAAACACCGCAAAGTAGAGTGTCTGTACCAAAAGGACACAAGTATCTCTTGATTATCGAAATTACTCATAAACTGTAAACCAACAAAAAAGGAAGATAGAGAGCTTAGCGTTTTCCACCGCCTCCTCCAAGCTTAGGACCCTTTGCTTGTGCAGCCCCCCTGGGGACGTTACCCTTCCCTGCCTTCTGTGACTTGGCCAGCACCTCTGCCTTCTTAGCCTTCTTCTCATCTTTCGTTTTCTTAATCCGTTCCTTAATTTCACTGACCAAACAAACAAGAACCCAATTTAATCATATATTATAAGATCTTTAATTTTCTCTAGTGTGAGTGTTAAAAGGCTTAGATTGTGTTGGTTTGAAGGGAGGCTTGGTGCATATCTCAATCCTCCCGTACACTCCGAACCAAACAAAAACCTTACGACAAACATACCGGAGAGCAGCCTCCCTTGCAGCATCTCTGACCTCTGGTTTTTCAGATCTTTTCTTCTGGATTACCTCTAAGGTTGCACCAACAATAGATCTAGAGTAAGGCTTTTTTGTGGCGCGTCTCCTCTTTTTTGCAGTCTCTTGTGCAAGATCCTTGGATGTCCCAAAAGTAAAAGTTGATTATGCATAAGCAAAACTCAGATATCACACTCGGGTGTAAAATGCAAGCAGGGTAAGAAATTGTCTTTAAGATGAAATAGTACAAGTTTCTAACACAAGTTGTCAGAAAAATGAAGATCTATGAAGATAAATTTGTTTTGAAAGGATTGAACTTCAGGAAAAATATTAGATTATGCCAGTCAAACAGATATGACAATGAACCAACTAAACTGAACATACAAATCAATCAAGTACATGGTTTTTGAGTTCCTCACCTTCTTGTGCTGTTTTCTGTACACAGCAGTCCATGTAAGCTTGGCGGGCTTCAGACGGTTATGGAAATATCTCTTACATTTTGAATTGACAAACAAGAACACCTATGACAAGGAAGTGCCCTTAAAATGCAACCAAAACTCAAATACAATGGAACTCAAAAGTCGCCAGAAAACAGATGGAAATACAATAACAATTTATAAACACAAACCTGGGAATCTTGGCGCACAAATCTGATGCCCCTACCAGGATAAATCTTGCCACCACTAAACCGGCAAAGTTCAGTCCTGAAATCACAAGAAAATGAAAATAATTTCATGGCATTAGAAAAATACCAGGTCTCGTGGAAATAGCATCATGCTTTTCTCCACACCTATGAAAGATTCAACAATTTAAATAATGAAGGATGAAAAGAATGTAGAGTGAGAGCTGTGTCTTGATACAAGAAAACAAGTGAATTTTCAAAACAAACCTTTTTCCAATTCAAAAAGAAAAAGGAATGCCATATCTTATGTCAAGGAACCACTCAACCAAAAGTGCAAGCTTGTGGCAGGCCCAAAAAAGATTTCCATTTTCAAACAAACCCCCTCATGTCTCTCGTGAAGGAACTTAATTTTTTTAAAACTAGGTAAGCATACTAGCATTGAGATTTGAGCTCGTGCATCTTGGTCAGGAACCAACTAAACCAAAAGATCAAGCTTGTGGTTATAGGCCCTAGAGAAATTTTTATAGTCTAAGATTCTTAACAGCCTGGGGCAAGTTTGCAAGTGTGCACAAGAGATAGAAATGTGCAACTTCAATATTTCCAGCAAGTTTTACATTTTTCTGACATATTCTACTTCTTATAAAAAGGCTCCACAATCGACTTGGCAAGGAAATTATGAAAAGTGAAATTATGTGATTGAAAGTAATGCACAAGAGATAGAAATTATATATGCCACAAAAACATTTCCAAAAAGGAGAGTGATTCTTTTGATACCGACAAAAAAAATGGAAACTTTTTATGGGACGGAGGGAGTACTAAAATTTAATACTATATGTTCTTTAAAAAAGGTCTCACCATGTTATGGTTTCTCACATTTTACTCATTTTTAGTTTGACAGATGTTTGAAATCTAGCTTTAGGATTTGATTATGAAAGATTAAAATCAATTGAAAATTGAGTTTATCGACACTGGTGGAGGTTTTTCCACTACAGAATTTAATAATTGAAGATTAGAATTTTCTCTCAGGACCATGCTCCTTACATTTCCCTGGCTATTTTCAAATTTATCTTCATGTAAAGATCAGGCATCAATGGGAAAATGGCACAGCCGAGAAAATTGTGAGGGTCCAGTTGTTATATAGGTAGCTGATGTACTTTTATTTAGTATATAGATGACATAATTGTATATTATTTCGCATAATTTTTGCTAGTTTATGCATTCATTTTACATTTTAGTAACGTAAAACAAAAGGTTTCAAAATTCACAAAGCATATTATCATAACATCGAAGAAACCGGATTAAGAAATAAAATGAGCGGAAGAAGATTCTTCGCGAGGAACTGAAAATCGGAAGATTTTATGGGTAAAATTAAAAGCCTAGTTTATAGCTGAACAGATCGAGAAAAACATATCCAGAATAAAAAACGAACACAAAAACATTAAACAGTGGAAATAATCAGAAAAGATGTGAGGAAGGCGAAGAAGGCTTACTTGAGAACCATGGCTGATGATAGTTCGGTTCTGAGCAAGGTGGTAGACAAACCCTAGAGGAAACGAACGATTGTTTAATTATTTATCAACGAAAATTGTGGACTTTTGAATGGGCTAATGGGCTTAGAAACCTGTCCAAATTTGCAGCCTTACTTTTTTTTTTGATGATGCAGCCTTACTATTGACAAGATTTTTGTAATGCTTATATGTTGGACTTGGGTCGTTGCTCCAAAAAAGGTCAAAATTGCTACTCTCTTCGTCCCTAAATATTTGTCACGCTTGTATTCTTGAGATAAAAATCAAGCTTTTTCAATTTATTTTATTTACATATTGGTATAGAAATAAAAATAAAATTTACATATAAAAAACTACATGAAAGTTTTTCAAAATTAGAGGTGTCAAAAATATTTTATTTTATCAAATAACCAATGAAAACGTAGAAATAAACAAAAGTTTTCGCGACTGCTGAAAAAGAAAATGTTGCAAATATTTAGGGACGGAGGGAGTATGAAATGACTACCTAGATCACATAGGACTAGAGTTGTCAAATCGATCAGTTAGGTCAGATTTGTGTTCATTCACTTTAGGTTTGGATAAATTCAAATGGAAAACGCATGTTCATGATCAGTTTCATCAAGTTCGGGTCGATCAGACGGTTATGACCTTTATTTATTTTTTGAAATTGCAAGTAATTTTTAGATATATAGATCAATATTAACAATAAAAACTAATTACGCAGAAGTTTGGAAAAACTAAGATAATATTGTGATATCATTAAAATTTTGTCTGACAATATAAATTTATACATTAAAAACGACTAGTAAGAAAAAAATAATTATAATCTTATTTTAGTATTATATTTCATATCAAAGTATATATGATTTTGAAAACTCTTAAATTAGTAGGTCGATAAGGTCGGGTTAGAGATCGATCGGGCTTGGCCCATTTTTAGCATATCGTTTCAGGCTTGTTTAGGGGGGTAGGAACCGTCATTTTTACAAACGTCTTACCCCAATAGCTTGGCCCATTTATATATATATATACGCTTTCATCACCGTCTTTGCCGACTTCAAATACTAGAATTCAAATTTTGTTATTTTCCAAACATTTGAAATGATTTCTCGATCCATACGCAACGACTCATAGTTTTTAAGTCTTGTCGCTCAAATTTTCATTCCAGTGGAATAAAAATCTAATTACAAGTTGTTAACCTGGTTAGATTCAAAATGGTCTGTTAAGAAGCATCACACGTTGGAAGTTGAAAAGAAAAAAGATGAGTTCATAAACTCTTGAATTGAACGAGTATTCTATTGAACTCAAATGTTTAATGTGATTCAATCCAAAAATCTTATAACCCAGTCTAATGTGTGAATAGAATCATGCAAAGGGGAGAATGAAAAATCGATTCCTCTTTCACTAATGAAAAACCCGTTCATGTCGGGAGTAACACTGTACTAAACAATATATAGAGAAAGAAACAATTAAGAGGGAGGGAGACTTTGCAAATGATGGAGTGATGATGAATAACCAGAAAAAAAAATGCTACCCGGCACTGTGTGTTAGCGCTAGCTAACCCTAGGCCGGCCACAAGCAAGAGTGAATGCGTGGGTCAACTAGTCATTGACCAACTTTGACATTATTTATGAATATTATTGCGTGATCTTCAATCCCTTTGGTCAACACCTCATTGGCTGCTGCAGAAGTCCAAGAATCCCATGAACTCGTGATTATGTATCATACTTACACTCTTCTCTACACCTACAAACCCTGCAGAAAAAAAGAGGGCGTGTTAGAGAGATTATTCCACATTAGAAATCCAAGAATAACATAATCGGTATGTAAACTTTTGAGTTGAACTAAGTAATAGATCGAATTCAATCTTTTAGTGTGGTTCGGCTCAAATGTCTTGTGATTCAATCCAGCAACCCTTACCCCATCCAGCAATTCTATCATGGTATCAGATCCGGGTTTTGGTCCACCTCGTTTATCATTCCTATCAAACCCCTTTGTCATTAGCCTAGTTGTCCGTAAGGATTACATATATCACGGCCCGTAACCCATTTAGCCCGATTGTTCGTCCGAAAGTTCATACCCAGCAACTCGGGATCTTTTTGGTGTTGCCACTCAGATATTCATTTAACGGGGATGAGAATCTTTTTACAAGTGGTCATCCAGTTAGATTCAAAATGACCTAGTGGTCTACTCGAGGGAAATTGTTAGAGATTACCACACTGAAAATCCAAGAGTAAATAATCGGAATATAAACTTTTGAGATGAACTAAGTAATTGATTAGATTCAATACTTTGATGTGGTTCACCCCAAGTTTTGTATTGCCCAAACGAATTTTCCCTACCTTATTTTAAATTCTATCAGGATCATCATGATACAAAACATCAAAACTGATTGCATTGATGGTCAAGGGAGAGGCTCAAAGTTGCTGTGGCAATATGGCATGTGGTTGGTTTTATAAACTTTGATCGCACGATTACTATGAAAAATATAATGCCTAATCAATTCCTTAATTATACCCCTGATAAAAGTGTGTGATGCGCTAAACATTGGGTTGAGTTGAGACACTATTTTATAACTTTTTTAGGCATGTCGAGTCCATATAGCGGACTTAACAATTGAAACTCACGCCTTGTCAAATGGTACCCATGGGCTTCTGGCCAGGCCGACCCACTTGGTAAATAATTTCTACATGATTATAAAATACTAACCATATATAAAAAGGTTGTATTTTTCAAATTAATCTTCATCATTTAAATTTTATCCAAACTAATAACCATATTTAAAAAGGTTGTTTCCAAATAAGTTTTAAGTGTACTCACCTAACTCCATTCATGGATCTTGCATGTAGCGCCTAATGACTTTTTTTGCGAAATTGTGGGTAGTGTTTAGCAAAAAGCAAATACTTATGTGGTCATAAAGTTAATGTTCATTTTATGTACCTTATTGTATTAGGGGCTCTTTGTTTCAGCCTCTTAATGGTTCAGATGTCTGAATGATTCAGCACTTAATGGTTCAGACTGTTTGTTTCAGCCTCTTAATGATTCAGATGTCTGAATGGTTAAGAGATTTGCCTCTGAATGGTTAAGTATTATACAGAGTCTGAATGGTTACGAGCTCTTATCTAAATTGATCATACATTTGCTCTTGAATAGTTAAGCAATATACTAGCTCTTAATGGTTCAGACCACTTACTGGTTCAGCACTTAATGATTCAGACCTCTTACTAGTTCAGCATTTACCTAGTCAGAAGTTGCCAAACAGCCTCTTAATATCATAAAAGGATTCTGTCTTTCTAGAAAAAGAAAAAGATTCACTAGCCAACTCATAAAAAGGGTAAGAAGAGAAGATTCACACACTTTATATATGGAATGAGCTTTAGGACCATGAAAAGACAACTCATAGGAAAATAAGAAGAATAGGGAAAAAACAACTCTTACAAAAATTAGAAGAATAGAAGCATGGTATGCATGTTTTATCTAAATGGAAGTAGTATTAATTGCGTACCCATAGTAAGAGCACTAGCGAAGATAACGCCGGAAAGTATGAAGACGATGATGGATGCCCTCCTTAGTATTCCCACTATTTTCCTCACCAAACACTGCCCCCAGAATCCCGCCAATATCGACACCCCTGTCAGGTACATAGCTGCAACATACACAGACACTCAATGTTTGTGCGTACATGTGATCCTAAAAGTATATACTCCGTATGATAAATCTTTTTATAAAGTGTAATTTATTTTTAAAAAAAATACTTCGTACTTTCATAATTTTATTTGTATCGAGTCTTTTATGAGAATATTCAAAACATCCACTTTTAAATATTCTCAGCCATACAAACATTCAATGTTTGTGTGCGTACATGTGAGATCCTCCAAGTATAGATCTTTCCATAAAGTTTAACTTGTGTTATAAAAAAATACTCGTACTTTCATGATTTTATTTGTACCAAGTATTTTATGAAAATATTCAAATCATCCACTTTTTGAGTTGAAAAGATTGAATGTAATTTGTAGAATGTCAAACTGGGATGGACGGATAATAAAACACTAATAAGTAATTAAAATAAAGAAAGTACCAAAGGGTATAGGGAATCTTTTGAGGAGATAAAACTCAACTACAGATAGGGACGAGGAGAACATCATCACAAACGTTGCTGTCGCGCTGGCAACCTGCAGCACCATCCGGAAAATGACAGAAAAATACAACTAATAATAATAGGTAATAACGCCTCCATGCATACACACACACACATGCTAATCCATCCGATCGTCCCAAATTAATCAATCATGTGTTATGGAGTATATTTTAGTACAATTGAAAAAACTATTGACCAATGGTATTATATTAATAATCAAATAAGTTTGGTAGTGCAGAGTGCACGCTTCGTTAATTTTGTTATGATAAAAGTTCAGTCTTAACGGGGTTCCAAGAAGGCAGCGCCTCCTTGGTGGAGGATTCAGGGCCTCAGGGGCAGCACCCCCGAGCAGGGTTCAACGAGCGGCAGCCCCTGCGGGGTGCAAGCTAAGGGTCAAAGTGTTATGTTAGAAATTCAATTAAATTTTTAATTTTCAAATTTTCCTTAAAGGAAAATTTAAAGGTTCGGAAAAGGATAGTGCCGTTCCTTAAATTCGCGCAAAGGGAACGTGGTTTTAAATGGGAGACGCGATCAAAGTTTTTCTTCCCTTCCGCGATTTGAGTTTTATCCGATTGATTTTTGAATTGAACAACCAAAATAATGAATCTGAAAGTACTACACAACTCTCAAATCAGTCCACGTTATCTTCATTTGTCCCCAACATCATGTGCATGCAATTCTTATACGCACATTATAGAACATGAATATACATTATTAATCTTTATATTTTTTTAATAAAATGCATCCATTACCCTATATTTCTATTTAAAGTGCATGTCACAAAATACTTCCTCCGTCCTTAGTGTTCCTGTTTCTTTTTTTGTGTATCTCATAAAACACTTCTACCCACATCTAAATTACCTAAAATTTACCATATTTCTCTTTTATTATAGGTAGAAGATTTTGATATTTAATGTGGAATAGAAGTATTTTATGGGATACACAAAAAATAAAACATTAACATCTTTTAAGTGGATAATCCATTCAAGATGCTCTAAAAGGAAAGAAGTGCTACGGAGTAGGGTATATATTAAGACCCAAACACTAAATTCCAAAAACAATTTGTGACCAATTAGCTAGTATTATCTGTCAAATACGATAAAAAAACAAAGACTCGAACTCCCAATTTGATTTCGCCACTGCTAACTTTAGGTAAATTGGTCACATGTGCCTAAAAATCGAGAGTGGGCCATGACAAAAAAAATTTGCCAGCCGACAGATGGATCCATTTATTTAGTACTCCGTATTTCAATTTTGTACGAGCATACGAGAAAAATAAAAAGATGAATACGTCACAAGATATATACGGAGTATTTTAAATTTTACACCAAATGAAAAAATTTTGAAATTTTTTAAATTTATTTTATTTGAAGACTGAAATTAAAAATAAAACTTACGGAATATTTGAAAACTATGTGAAAAATTATATTCTTTCCGTCCCATAAAGATAGAGACGATTTGACTAAAGTGGTAAAATAAGGAGGGAAATTTTGTGTTGAGTTTCCAAAAATATCATTGATGTGATGGGTAAAAGTAAAATGTGATGTGTAGATTATTAGAAAAAAAGTATGATGTGATATCCAGAGTAATGAAAAAGTAAGGGATAGAAGTGGTTTTTTAATAGAAATGAGACTTTTAAAGACATGATTTTTTTGAAACGGGGGGAGTACAAAACAAGAAATGACAATAATATTTTATTTCACCAAATAATTAATCAAAACGTACATATAAACAAAAATGTTCATAACTTTTAAATAGTGAAGAGTGTAATTGTTTTTGGACGAAAGGAGTATATTCGGTGTCAATCCTAATTCAAATTTTGATGTATTTTAGGAAATAAGTCACAGCGACCATTTAAATAGTCCCTCCGTCCCAAAAAGATTTACACCTTTCAAAAAATTTGTGTCCCACAATCTCCTATCCATTTCTATTAAAAAACCACTTTTATCCCTTACTTTTTCAAACTCTATCTATCACATCATACTTTTTTTCTTATAATTTACACATCACATCCTACTTTTACACCTCTATTTTTGGAAAGTCAACACAAAATTATCCCTCCCTTAATTTCCACTTTAGTTAAAATGTGTAAAACTTTTTGGGACGAAGGGAGTATATGTCAATGGATGGGATGAAGTATATACCTGGGGGATGACGCCGATCTCGAGGAGGAGAGGACCGAGGACAAAACCACCACCGGAACCGAGTAGGCCGCCGACGGTTCCGCCAACGAGGCCGGAGAGGGCACAGAGAGCAAGGTTCACCGCCGTCCAATCAATGGCGGCATCGCATATCATGTCTTGGTTTCCCGTCACTTTCCTGCTCTTGCTCTCTTTGTAAAGTTTCACGCATTCGTACCCAAATAGTCCTAGCGCCACAGGGAACTTTCACCCCCTCAAAAAAAAAAAAAAGACAATAATGCAAAATCAATAATTCAACCCAACATTTCAAATAAAAAAAAGGTATGGATAAATAAATGAATTCGAGTAGACGTGCCTGTAATAAATTGAACACCCAATATAATTGACTGCATGCCACAACGTTGTTCTGCAAAATACGGAAAGTTGTCAATCCGGCCATATACTACAAAAATGAATTGAAATCGGAGAATTCAATTCCATCCAAATCAATTTCGATTCCATGTATTCCGTATACCAAATGGACCACATGTTTCTTTCCCTTTCCTCACTAAAATGGAAACAATGTCGTTTTCCTTCTTTTCATTTATCCTCTAATTTTCTTTTTTTTTCACTTTTATTTTCTTTTCCTCTGAAATCAAACAAGAAAAATTTGTTTCTCTTATTATCTTTAATTTTTTTTATCAAGTTTCTTGATCCGAACATATTGTAAAACAAAAATAAAGTATTAATAAAACTTGCCTTAAAGACTTGGAGGAGCAGGAAGGAAATCCATGTGAGGAAAAGAATCATAGTTTTCTTCACATTCATGTTGAACATCATAAGTTTCTGAAAAATCATTATTTACCAAATGGATTAATGGATCCACATCATTGTTTAAATCTACTTGAAAAAGAGAAAAAGATAGTGCTTACCAGTCCTGTTCTCTCTTCCTTAGGGACCAACGGCTCATACCCGGTATTTACTTCTACTGAGGCAAATTAAAACCATGACTAAAATTAGAATTATAATTTATTGCTAAAAAAATCAATGATTAAAGTTAACTAATTTGAAAGCACAATGAGATTTATTTATAATTTATTACACCATCCTCCCTCCCAAATTATTTGTTTCTAGCTACTTGGTATTCTAAGGGTTCGTTTGGTTTATGGAATTGACAAAATTGAAATTGAACTGAGAGTTGAAATTATATAGAATTGATTCAGATGGAATTGAAATCTCTAATTCCAATTCATTTTTGGCGCTACCAATTTTAAATCCACATTTTGTGCTAGCAAACAGCAGAATTAGAATTGTTATCCCAAAATTTCATAGATTGAATTTCGTATACCAAACAGAGTCTAAGAGCATTTTAAAATATCCAAAATGAGTAGTCTGAATACCTTATTTAATACGTAGTACGAAATAATAATTTCAAAAGTGTCGAATATAAGATCAAAATTTGAGAAATACTACATCCCTCCCCAAATTAAATTTTGCACATTTCCTTTTCTATTTATCCCAGAATCAATTTTGCATTCTTTTTTAAAATAATATTGAGTGATTCACATTATTTATTTTTTTAGTACAAACCCAAAATGTTTAATTTAGGACACAAGAGTTTACACTCTACGTTTCATTTTAACTGACCATTATCAATTTTTAAATACATTGATTTATTTTTATATATACATTCATTTATTTTAAAATATATCTAAAAGTCATAATGATAAGTTAATATGGATCCAATGAAATACTCTTTATGAAGTATACCGAATATTCATTAAATTTGTAAACAACTTACATTCCCCGTGTGAACTAACTAAAGTTTGATGCTCAGCCTCCGATTCCTGCAATTTACCCACAAAAAAATATGTAACCATAATATACCTGTGCTAGAGTGTTAATTTAGTTTTATTTTTTCCATTCAAATAAGAAAAAACTGTGATATTTTTAAACATTAAATTGGTGTTATATATTAATACAATGAAATAAATTTCTTTAACTCGATAAAGTTAAAAGCTCCTAAGCGTAAGGTGGGATTCGAAAACGGGATGTGGATGGTGGAGAAGAAGACTAACCTTCACTTTACTTTCTTCCCTCCACATTTCTATCCCTTTAAAAGCTGACCTTGAAGAAGTCCCTGTTACTCCAAAAACAATGAATTGAAAATCCGTGTGCCTCAATATGTCAATTATTTATGCTACATAAAGATATACGCTCGCCAAAAACAATGAAATAAAAATCACCAGTTGAGATTATTACTCTACATGCTTAATGAGTCGAGAATTGTATGAACAAACATTAAATTATAATAGAGGACTCTGCAATTTGAATTGAATACAAATTGATATTCTATGGAGTTGAATTAGATGGAATTAAATTCTAATTCAATTCCAAATCCTTTGTTTGATACATTGTAGAATTGATATTGAATTGATATAGAATTGTATTTTGGGCTTTTGAGTTTTGATCATTAGGTTTTTTTGTCATTTGTTCTGAATGACTGTAAGTTTAGCTGGTTTCACCGGCAGAATGTATTGTGCAATTTATAATTTTAAGTTTTTAATTTTTAATTTTTAAGTTTTAATTTTTAAATTTTTAATTTATAGTTTTAAATTTTAGATTTTAAATTTTATATTCTAAGTTTAAAATTTTTTTCTTAAAATTTAGTTTTAAGTTTTTAATTCTAATTTTTTATGTTAAATATTTAATTATATATTTACAATTTTATTTTTTAATTTTAAAAATTAAAACTTTAAAACTTTTATTTCATTTTATAATTTTAAAATTTAAAATTTAAAATTTAAAATTTAAAATTTAAAAGTTAAAATTTCAAATTAAAATTTAAAATTTAAAATTTAAGTTTTAAAATATAAATTCAAAATTCAAAATTCAAATTTTTAAATATTTATTTATTATTTATAAATTTTAAGTTTAAATTTTTAATATTTATTATTTAGTTTTAAAATTTAAATTTTAATTTTAAATTTTAATTTTTTATTTATAAACTTGTTTTTTTATATTTTAAATTTTAAATTTTATTGTTTTATTTAGTCAAAGAAGTCAAAGTTTTTCAAAGAAGTCAAAAGCAAAAGCTACTTTCCCAACATATCGTATATAAGATCCATTTCTTTGTTATGATCCGAAAAAGATCTACGGAATTTCAGTTTGACATAGAATAACAATTTTGAATTTCAAATTCTTTTGTTGTGTTGTAAATGTGTAATTAGAAATGTGAAATTGAAAATTTTGGAATTATAATTCAATTACGAATCTGGATATTTTTGTGCTACCAAACAACAATATATGAATTGATGTCTTTAATTTAATTCTAATTGCCTAACCTCAATTCCGTATATCAATCAGAACCATAAAAAATTCAAAAAAATAATCTTATGTTTATCTTCAAAACAATCATTTGTATCTAGAATGACTACAAGCATGGATGTATGATGAGAGAGAAATGAATAAATACAAATTGACCAATAATAGTCCAGCATTATACATGATTTTCTATATTTAATCATCAATTCAGAGGTATTACATAAATGGTCCCTAATTTTTGAAAATTATTCCATAATTGATCCTTGAGGGACTATATGTAGAAAAATATTTTGACATATCTATAAAGGACTATTTATGGTATAGTTTTAAAAAAATTTAGGACCATTTTTATTATTGTAACTTAGAATTGAGGATTAAATATAAAAAACCTTTATGTAATTAAGCATCATTTATGAAATTACTCAAACAAATAAAAGAATGTAAAATTTACTTTAGTACAAAACAAAAATTTAAAAAATTACTAATTTTGTCCCAGTATATTCGTCTAGATTAACTTTTTGGAGTCAAACTGAATGAACTTTAGAATACAATTAAATACAAATTGTAATTTATATTAGTAAAACACGTCTTCATTAAGTTTATTTTACGGGAAATTTGAATTTTTTTTTAACACGGAAATTTCAAAATTTTAGTTCTTGTATTACTCATAATACAGTACAATTAATGAATAATTAACGATTAAAGCTTATTTTGAATAAAATCAAACAAGACAAATATAATAAAATGAAAAGGAGTACTATTAGAGGTATGAATGAATGAAGGGATATAGGAAAGTGGAGGGGTGGGTTACCTATGAATAGAATGACGGTGAGGACACTAATGAGCCAATATGGAAAGACCACACTCAGAGCGACCCCAATGGTGATGCCCAACATTAGCATTGGCTGGAAAAGAAATGTCAAATCATAGTCTATTATTGGCGCTGCTCTGCATGGATGTCCCACTCTCAGATTGTACCATACCGATGCTCCTGACGCCCCCATTATCATGCCTACCTTCAAAACAATCCTTCTCCCGTTAAAATTTGATCCAATTTATTTTCAATTTAAAACACGTTATATACTCCGTATTTAAAAGGAGTTATTAAGGCAATGATAAAGATCTTTTGACCTTAGTTTCAAATGACATAAATGACTTTGGCATTATGAAGTACCTACAATGTTCTGTTGGTAAAATTGATAATTTTTATCTTCTAACTTCCCTCCCCTAACTTCCCATACACTTGACCCAGTATCTCTACCCTTCTAGATCACCAATTTGGAAGTGCCAAATCTAGAGGACAGGGGATGCTAGGTGAAGTATAGTGGACATTGGTAGGAACCATCAATTTTACCAATGTAGCAATGGTTGAGGAACCTTGAATTCAAATGTCAAAACTCAAAAGAACGATTGTGATAAGATAAACAGTTTTTTTTTTTAATTTCTTACATTTTGAAACTGCCGCGGCAGACTTGGTATCAAATCCTACGATCAGAGTGAGCATTGGGACGAAGATGCCGCCTCCTCCTACGCCGCCCACGGTGCCACAGGCCGACCCCAGGAACCCTATCACGGTTGCAACCACCGTCCTCCAACTAAACCTCAACTCCTTCAATTCCGAATCAAAAAAAAAAATCAAATTGGATTTTAATTAATTAGCCCAGAATCAATTAAAAATAGAATTGCAAAATGTTGTCCCGAAACGTGCCCTTACCGGCCAGACTTTGGTCTCCGATCGAAGAGGGATTTGCGATGCAAGTTTGATGGAGGAGGAAACGTCGCCGGAGGTGGGGAGGTTTTGGAGGTAGACGACGGAAAGAACCGCCACGGTGGAGGCGCCGATAAGGTAAGCCAGGAATACGGTTGTCGGAGACATGGCGGGCGGGCGGGCGGCCACCAGGGGAATTGAATGAGCTTTACGGACGACGCCAATTCAGGAAACGGCCACCACTTTCTCTCTGTGGTCCAACCTATTTCTGCGCCGCACCGGGTTTATTTACGGCCGTTTATTTACGCCAATTCAGGAAACGGCCACCACTTTCTCTCTGTGGTCCAACCTATTTCTGCGCCGCACCGGGTTAATTATTGACCCCTTTTATAGATTGGTAGGGAGTTCATATATTAGGAATGATAGTGCTATGGTATTTGATTGGGCGTATGAAATATTTCGGTTCGGTATAAGATTTTACATCATATCGATCCCAACTTTGAAGTATCAGTTCGGTATGTTCGGGATAATTCAATTTCGATAAATATTGAGATGAACATATATACACACTACCTAGTTTACACTTTAAAATGTATAACTCTTTATTTTAAAAAAATCAAAAGTATATTCAAATAAAGAAAGATAATAAATTGAAAAAGGTTAATAATGCAAGAAATGCTTATAAAACTTAGTTTAATTTATACTTCGTATTTTACAAACAAAAGAGAATGAATGATAACAAATACTCCGGTAATATTTTAAATGTTTGTTAATTTTTTTATTTTCATCTACAAAAAAATAAAATTCAAATAAATGATTATTTAAATAAAAGATTATTTTTTATTCATCTACACTTGACCCCAAAACTCATTTTGTATCAATATGTAATACTTCGTATGATTTTTATTTAATTTAAGGTTAAAATTTATTAATTTTGACTAAAAAATGGACAAATACTCAGATACGGAGGAAGTACATGCTACAAAATTAATCTTGCTTAATATTAAGATTTTAAAAAACCAGTTTTAGGAGCCTTTTTTTTTATTTTTAGAAAATTGTGTGATTTTTAAATTTTTAGGCTTATTTTGATACACCTTGCTACCGTTACCATTGAGCCGTTCTAAACCATAAGATTTCCTTAGGAAACTTCTTTGTGGCAGCTTTAGAGAATTTTTTAGAACCCAAGAAAAATCCATAGTTTAGTTCTACATTCTTGTAGGATTTTTAGCTCACTTTGTTTCAAAATGCAATGGGCATAAAGTCTTAAGTTTGGGGTGTAAAGTGTGCTTTGTTCATCTTGATGATGATAAATTAAAACGTATATTCTTTTTGGTCTTTTGAATGAGGACGCTCAAGTCTTAAATGTGGGAATATTTAATAAATTGGTTTTGGGTTAGTTGTTTTTATTCTTATTTGGGTATTTTTAGTATTTTTAGAGTATAATAATTACTCCGTATTTGTTTAACTTAATTTTATTTTATTTTCATTCCTATTTTAACAATCTTTTAATTTTCTTTTATAAATAGTAGTTTTAAATTTTTAATCCCTTTTTACATTTTTTCTTTGTTTTATTTTTCATAACTCAAATTATCAGATATCTTAGTTTTTGGAGAAAAGCATATGAAAAGACCAAATTGAAATTCAAGTTTGAAAAGAGATTGAGTTTAGACTGGAGCCCAAAGCATCATTAACAAGAAACGGCCCAGTTGCACTCCATCTTCAGTTTCATGCACGAACAAAAAATAATAGAACGAAGACAATTCATGTTCTTCTTCATCGCGCAACAAGTGGAATACCAAATCTACAATGTCTCTCCATCAATTTCGCGACAATCAATCACCAACGGGAAAAAATCCAATGGGAAATAGCGCTCCACACTTCTATAAATAGAGGTGCATCAACACAAGCTAGGGAGGGGGATTCACACAGAAAAGTCAAAGAGCAGCGGCTTGGCCGCTGCAATGTCGGCGACTAGCGAGACTAGACGGCGGCGGCGGCTAGGACCTTCAACAGCTCCAAATCCACCAAAATGGCTCATAGCAAGGACAATATTAAAAAAATAAAAAAAAAAGACTCCGATTAAGGTTTTGTGGTACCTTCCAATAATACCAAGGTTCAAGAGTCTGTTTGCTTTGATAAAGCAAGCAAAAAACCTAGTGTGACACACAGAGCAGCGAAAAGATAATGACACCCTGCGTCATCCTGCCGATGCCCAATAGTGGAAGACGATTGACTACACATTTCCAGAGTTTGGGAACGAGGGGAGAAACCTTCGATTGGGATTGTGTATGAATTCCACACTCCCAAAAAAATGTATAGCTTTTTTATGTATGAATTCCACACTGTATTCATGTATGAATTTCACACTTCCAAAAAAGTGTACGACTGTTTTCATGTATGAATTTCACACTGTCCAAAAATGTATGACTGGTTTTATAAGTAATCTATTACCTAAAAATACATTGGCCGAACATGGGCATTAAATATGCAACTTAATTTCATACGTGCGAATTTGTTTAGGCATTATACATTGGTAAAGTGCGTAGGAGGAGGATCTCGCAGAGCTATGGTGAACGGCGTAGGATGATGTTCTCGTACGTATGAGATGCACGAATGAGGAGGAGCCGCACGTATGAAGAGAAGAGGCTACGTGACTAACCTAAATTTAATCAAATAATTAAAAGTAATTAAAAAAGTAGAATATAATGAAAGGTAGAGAGTATGATTGTAAGATATTGACACTATAAATATCTAAATTCAATTCGTATAAAAGATTAAGAAGTGTTATATGCGTAATATTGAGTGACTTTAGAGTACTACGTAGATTGATTTCCTTAACATCTAAGCACCTATAAACATCCTCTTCTCTCTCCTTTGAGCATCCTCTTTGGGCATCCCATTAGAGATGACCTTAGGCGGTCGTGCTAGGACAATCAGTTCCGGAACCTCACTTCGTCTAGCCCTAAATTAGAGGCACGAGTAATTTTTTGGGTCAAAAAATGGTAAACTCGAATTTTTATTGTTATTTGTAAAGGATGAGTCCCATTTTCGAGGACCTGCAGACCCAGTCGGACGAAGACAGAGATAAATTAAACTTTAATTGTGGCAAACGACTAGGGCAGTTGAGGAATAGGGGCTAGCAACTACTGTATAGACAATTTTGCTATGATCTCGTAGGCCTGATCGGGTATGGGGCTCATCCTCTAAAAAAGGCGTATTCTCAACGAGAAAGCACTTTCTGTGTGCCAGGTCTCTCAATTTGCAATCCGCCATGGATGAAACTCGAAAACACCAGGTTCTTTCTTCCTCCCCAGTCCTCACACACAACTATCTGTATCACTTTCCTCTGCCAGGTCTCACAAATTGCAATACGTCATGGATGTACTCGCTTGTAGCTTTTATGTGGTGTGATTGGTTCAGTTGTTGAGCTCGAAATGTTGATTTCATTTGTAGCTTAATTTCCATATTCAGTGGCGTGGAAATCATTCCAAATATGTGATGTAACGTTTGCTAATCTTGCTTAATTTTTTTTTGCGTGGTTTCCCACAGGTTTCTATGCGAGGAGCGAGCGCGAAGGACATTTCGAGGGATGAGCTTCTAGAGATGGTCTCGCATGAGAGAGAGCTCCGGGTTTATATTCGGAAATCCACTGCAGCTGCACTGTGTATTCAGGTTCTCGTGATATTTATTGTTTAATTCATTTATCTTCTGCCTTAGTTTAGCAGTCGCTTGAAAGGTACTGTGTGTGATTCCAAATTTGTACTCGTAATCCTTAATAATTTCATTAATTTGTGCAGAGAGTTTGGCGGCGTTACTATGCCACAAAGTTGTTAGCCCTACATCTTCAGCAGCAATGGGAGGTTATGATGGATAATCTAGCTGTTCGTCCAACTAAAACACTGATATCCTGCAATATTTTGAGGCCTTTTATTTTCTTCATAATGTTCTTATTGAATCGAGGAGTAAAAATGCTAAAGAGAGATAAAAATTGTATCGCAAGTTGCTTCAGAGTTGTTTTGGAAAGCATTACATCAACTAGTATGTTCTTCTTATTTTACCAGTGATTTATTTCTTATTTCTTTGCATTTCTCTTTAGGCATACCATTTTGACTCCCCTATTCAAATTTCTTCCATTTTTGTTTTTTTTTTGCTGAGGAAATTCCTAGTAGCACAGATTATTTATGTCAAGTTATTTACTGTTTTTGAATTATCATTTTGATGGATAGATGCAAATGAAAACTTTTGCTCAATGGCATTTGGAAATGGCGGGGAAAGAATAGTTTGGACGTACCAATCGAAGAAGCTGATTTCCATTTGCATGTTGATTCTAGCAGAATTTGATAACTCTCACCCAGGGGGTGAAGATGTGTTTGTTACATCATTGGCTCTGCGTTTGGCAGTTGTTTTGATTGATATCAAAGGATGGATTTGCATCAGCGATGCTAATATCCAAATTGCAAATAACTCTATAAGAGATTTAGTTCATTTCATGGCAAGTAAGAAGAGCGGTTTGTATAGTTGTGTCCAGAGATACATTTGTAAACTTCAAACTCCTATTTCTTCTCAAGTAACTTCTTCTGGTCAAACGGATGATCGATTCTTGATCATTGCTTGCGCTACAACTTTGGTTCTCCGACCATTTCACGATACAGGCGTATGTTTAACCACTAATTACTCGGAGGATGTTCAGAATGCTGCTGAACAATTCTGTAGTTTGCTTCTTACAATTCCTTGGTTGGCTCAAAAGTTACCAGCTGTGCTGTTACCTGCTATGCGACACATGTCTGTATTATCAGCTTGTTTACAGACTCTGATGGTAAGTTTGGGAAATATGAACTTTTCCTCATGTTTATGACACTCTTGCGTGTACGTGAATTACATAATCCATATGAAGCAGAGTTCCAATTAGTGGTCGAACCATACAATTATTGTTTTCTTGTTGGGTGAGGAGATATATGCTGTGGAAGAACATGGATTCTTTTTTCTTCCTATGCCGAGGTGGCTATGTGAATTAAAATGGGTTAATCATCAGTATTTTCCTAGTCAACCTTAATGATTTTCTGTCTTTTGAAATTTGAATGATATATAATGCCATTTTGACTCGTAGCTTATTGTTGTTTATCTACTCCGAAAAGCATATAATAGGCCAATTGGCCAAAGCTTAAAAAATAATAGTACTAAATGAAGTTGAAATAAAGAAGCCAAAAAAAAACAACTGGCTCTTTTTCAAGAAGCTGTGGTGTTGTGTTTTTTTGTGAATCAGGGTTTCCATTAAGTGCTGTCTGGGCCTAACGTAGAAGTGTGCACTTGAGGGAAAAAAGGGAAAACAAGGTAACTTAGCGGTTCACGTGCAATTTGTTTGAAGGAGGCTATCGTGACATAACATAATCTGGTTGGGCCTGTGTTTTCCGTAATTGTGTTTAGTTGAATTTCTGTAATTGCTGATTGTATTATAATTGGATGAAATGATCTGGTTAACCAGAGTCACCAGACAACTGATTGCACAGCATGTTGTGTTTTTCTCCATTATATGCATCCTGGCCATGCTGCTGCTGCTGCTAAGGCACCTTGAATTGTAGCAAACATGGATTTTTATGTTAGTACTGATCTTTTACGGAGCATTAGTAATCTGCACAGATAAACCAGTTATCTCCTTTTCATTTTGATATAAATTTTCATGTTGGTTTTGGTGTTGGAGCATAAGAGGACTGATTAGCCTTGGCAGGTGATTGGCAGATGTCAATGGAAGAAATCTCAAAAGAAATGTTTGATGTCGATAAGATGACACGTACTGGACAGAACAGGGCAATGCCACCGGTTGGTTGGGCTCTGGCAAACATTATTTACCTGGCGACAATGGGTGACAATAATTCATTGGATTCTGGAAAGTTTCCCCCTAGCCTCGATCAAACTTCCTATGTACGTGTTGTTGTTTTGCTGGCAGAGAACCTGTTGATTTGCTTTGAAAGGGTTGGACTGCTAAGTCACGAGGACCGGAATGATGATGTTAATTCTGTTGAACCTCTCAACTTTTATCATGAGGCTGGGACAACAGGTGGATCCTCAAAGTTGTCTTATCTGGACCTCCTTAAGCCAGTTTGTCAACAGGGGCATCTAATGAAACTTATTTCATTTGTCAAAGACACCTCCGTTAAGAATGATGTTAACATGGCATCAAGCAGTGTAGCATCTCATAGATGTGAATTGCGTGATATTGCTTATTATTATTCATGCATGATAAGAATATTCTCAGTTCTGGATAAAGTGCATGGAGCGTTGCCAGTTCTGAATATGCTATCTTTTGCTCCCGGATTTATTTCAGATATGTGGGGATCTCTAGAAAAAACGTTTTTCCCTGTAGGGGAACATGTTACTGAGAGCACCTCAGATCAAAATAAAGTTGGTGAAAATAATATTTATGAAGTGTCTGAACAAAAGCAGAAGCACTTTGCTAAAGACAGTGGCAGTAAATGGGTGAATGTAATTCAGAAAATTGCACGAAAATCTCACCCAGAATCAACATCTACAAATGTAGCTGATGGAATTTATAGCTCTAACACAATTGGTGAGCATTGTTCTGATATCTGGGATATTAAACCATTAAGGAAGGGCCCCGAGGGTATATCAAAAGATACTTATTGCCTTCTTAATCTCTTCTGTGCTAGTTATTCCCACCTGCTTGTAGTTCTCAGTGACATTGAGTTTTACGAGAGACAGGTTAGATCCCAAGCTTTTATACTTGTACTTCACCAATCCCACCCCACCTCATATGCTCCCCACAAAAGAAGTTAGAATCATTTGTAATGTTTATATGGGCGATTTTATCAAATACTAAACAAAATTGTTGGATGAATTAGGTCCCTTTTTCGTTGGAGCAGCAAAGGAAAATTGCATCAGTGCTTAACACATTAGTGTACAATGCCGTGTCTGTTAACATTGTTGCTCAAAATAGGACTGTCATTGATTTTGCTGTCAAGTGCCTGCATTTGTTATATGAAAGAGATTGTAGGCACCAATTTTGCCCACCTGCTTTGTGGCTTTCACCAGGTAGAATAAACCGGCCTCCAATTGCTGCAGCTGCTAGGACTTTTGAAGTATTGTCAGCTAATAAAAATGATGTTTCAACCTCTCCTATTGGTTCTGTCATTATAACTACACCACATGTCTTTCCATTTGAAGAAAGGCAAGTTTGGACAGAAGCATTCATCCTTTAATTCTACCATCACAATGCCATTTCCTTGGCCTCTTATTATTTGAATTTATTCTTTACACTTAAGCTCCTAGAGTACTTTCAGTGCACTCATGACTCCTGACACGTAATGTATTAATGCATGCTAAGCGGCCTTAATTCAGTTAACTGAGATCATTGTGGCTGATCGATTTTATGTGATTATAATGTCCTTTTTCAGATGGAATTTTATTTCCAATTTCATTACCGTATTTTGTTTAATTTGGTATTTAAATTGCTTCATTCTTTGCTTATTTAGTAGGTTTGAAAGTTGTACACCCTAAATATATAAACTTGATTTCTCTGTTTAATAAAACACGAGAATTAATTACAAAAATCAAGAAGGAAAACACCACAATTTCACTTTTTTTTTTCAGCAACCTCCATTCCTTTTTATTCACTCCTTGCTATGCAACCATGCTCCTGGTTCATAACTGTTTTGTTCCCCTTGGCATGGATCTGGTTGATCTCATGGTATTCGTGATGCCGTTCAAGCTGTCCAAACATCCGTGGGAACCTTCCCATTCACACTACAATGAGTTTCCAACATGGGTGCAACCCCTTCAAACTGGTGAACTCTTTGTTGAAAAAACTAGTGCCCTATGAAATTAGTAGAGCCTCATCACTCACACTGCCTCTAACACACTTTCACTCCCAGTCCAGTCTGACCCACCTGTCTCATATCATCTTGCTGTACCCATCAACTTCTCCCGCGACCCTCATCACCCCACAGACTTTTCATTGTCAGCTTCTTTCATAAACTTTGCAGCATAGTTCACTACTGTGCCATAAGTGATGGGGAGTAGTTGTCCGCTTTAACAAGTGGCCTTTCCTCTACTTCAACAAGTGACTGCAAAAGAATCAACAGCTATGACCAGGCATTCAGTTGAAGCTTCTACAACAATGGTTCTACGCAGGGACTTCCTATTCTGCTATGTTGAAATTACAGTTGAATGTTTTTTCCCCTCAATTTTAGTAGAGAACAACAAAAACAACAACAAAAACTAGTATATTCCCAACTTTGTTGGGGTCTAGGGGGTGGGGGTGGAGAAGTTGTACCCAACCTTACCCCTGTAAAGACTAAACACTGAGATGCTGTATTCTGATAGACCCTTGATGCATTGATGCATATACTTCCCAAAGGCCAAAACCTTATAAGAAGTAAGATGCAAGGAAAGTTTAATGTGCCATTTTGATCTAGTCCATTATTAGTCTGAACTCTGAAGCTAAAACATTGTAAAAAATGATTCTTTTTGCTCCACTGGCAATGGATGATAGATTTTAGTTGGGAGTGAGGAATGAAACTTTGGTTTGATTCTTTTTATTTTTATATTTTTGTTTATATCAGTTTTTGATGCTTCTACATGCTGATGCCAACTTTTACTTTGTGTGCATTCTTTTCAATGGCTCAGACCAGCCCATGCTTTACTTATCTCTATGATGCTAAACATGTTGCTTGTTGCGCTCTGGCCTTGACAGGGTTGAAATGTTCAGAGAATTTATCAATATGGACAAAGCTTCTAGGAGAATGGCCGGCGAGGTTCTAGGTCCAGGTCCACATGCAGTTGAAGTTGTTATTCGCCGCGGTCATGTTTTTGAAGATGGATTTCAACAATTAAGCAGCATTGGGTCCAGATTAAAGTCTAGCATTCATGTTTCTTTTGTAAATGAGTCTGGTCTCCCTGAGGCTGGCTTAGACTATGGTGGGTTATCTAAGGAATTCTTGACTGAAATTGCAAACGCAGCCTTCTCTCCCGAGTGAGTTTTCCTGGTGCTTGACTTTTCTTTTTCAAGTTGCAACTTCATTGTTCTTTTTTCTGACTTAATTGCTTTCTTTTTTTCCTGCTTTAATTGCTTTCTAATCTCTCTTAGAATATAAAAACCTTTTTAGGCCTACAACCATAAGCTTGAGCAGTTGAGCTTTTGGTTGAACCGTTGAGTTAGTTCCTTGACATGGTATCAAAGCTTTGTTGACCAAGAAGTCACGAATTCAAAACTCACTTCCGCCCAATAAAAAAAAATAAGGTTTCACGTGCAAGGCCCGAAATGCCCATGCCTACACGTGAGGGGCATGTTAGAATATAAAAAACTTTTCTTAGGCCTACAACCATAAGTTTTAGCTTTTGGTTGAGTTGGTTCCTTGACTCAATAATTAAGATTTTTATAATGGGTGATGTCTTTCTAGGTGTGGTCTATTCACCCAGAGTTCAACCTCGGATCGGCTTTTGATTCCTAATTCAGCTGCAAGATTTCTAGAAAATGGAATCCAGATGATTGAATTTTTAGGAAAAATTGTTGGCAAGGCACTCTATGAAGGAATATTGTTAGATTATTCCTTTTCACATGTTTTTGTGCAGAAGTTATTGGGCCGTTACAGCTTTCTTGATGAATTGTCAACGCTTGATCCTGTGCTATATAGAAATCTTATGTATGTTAAGGTAAATCAAAATTCTACCCTACAAACGTTGGTACTGAGAGTACTCCGTGTGTTAGTGAGCAATTCATTTCTGGTTAGTGAGGATATAAGTTTTGTTTGGTATGCAATGGCGGTGCATATAGTGAACAACTCATTCGTGGTTACTAAACACACAACTTCTATTTAGTTAGCAATTCGTTTCTCATTAGCAAATATAAACCTCTGTTGAGAGATAGTTGTACGGTATTTTTGTACCTATTGTTGTACAATAGAATTACTCCAGTAATGCTTTTGAAAATGATAAAGTTCAAGAAACAACAACAACCCAGTGGAATCCCCGGGGAGTAGGGTCCGGGGAGAGTGTGTATACTGACTTTACTCCTAGTCAAAAGTAGAGAGGTTGTTTCTAGGAGACCCCCAACTCGAGTAACACCAGTCAGCGTAGGCTAACAACAACTCGAGTAACACCAGTCAAAAGTAGAGAGGTTGTTTCTAGTTTGAATCACTTTTCAGTAATGGCCATATTTGCAAACATAGGTTACCTAGTCAGCGTAGGAGACACTTGTCATCTTTTATGTATTAAATTGTAAATAGTAAATGTACTCTTCTCATTTTCTGATTTACTGATGCATGGTTACCTAATTACTAGAATGAAGGTCCATGAGTGACTTGTTTTAATTTTAGATCTACTATATGTAAAGCAGTTCCGTATGCAATTTCTAGTTACATTCATTGTCTCATACTCTCATTGATGCAAAATTGCAAATGACCTTTGTAATGGGAAGGGGAGTGCAAATTAACTGTGGACATTCCAGAAGATCCTCACGTGCCATGTTTTTGGCCATGTGCTGAGGGCATGCTTTGATAAGAAAATAGGGCTTGCCCAGCTATGAATGTCTACATACAATCAACAACATGAAACTTGGGATATTTCATTAAATATCAACTGGCCGCAAAATTCAATGTTTTAATACAGAAACAGTTTTGTATTTTGCTAATGAAACATCCAACTGTGCATGAGAAATTGTCATTTATCATTGTTAACGAATGCAGCATTATGAAGGTGATGTCAGAGAGCTCTCTTTGGATTTTACAATTACAGAAGAATCACTTGGAAAGAGACATGTTATTGAGCTCAAACATGGTGGAAAAAATATCAGTGTCACAGATGAGAACAAGCTGCAATACGTTTATGCAATGGCGGACTTTAAACTTAATCGACAGGTAGGTAGCATTTCTACTGTAGATAGTTGGTGCCTATGTTTTTGTATCTCAAAATCTAATTTTATGCATTGCAGATACTTCCATTCTCAAATGCATTTTACAGAGGGTTAATTGAAGTTATATCTCCTTCTTGGTTAAAGTTATTTAATGCATGTGAATTTAACCAGGTATTACTATTACCTTGTTTTACATTTTGATAAATGTTCACTTACGAGGCTCCATTTGAGATCCGTCTCTACATGTTTTTGAGTGGGTCATCATCACTTTATACTCTTTTTTTTGCTGTTGGAAGATGTCTGAGTTACATAGTTGATAGTTCAGATGAATATTATATGTAGTTATATATATAGGGGTAATCTTACACCAATTTGTTGGTGTTAGATTATTACACCTAAAAATTGATTGTTTTTACCCTCTCTAACCCTCCAGTAAACCCCCTCCGGCCCGTCCCTAATGCACTCCCACACTCTTTCCAATTACATTGAACGATGACAATACTTGCATTCAGGTAAAACAAAATTTAAAACTTTCAAACCTATTTGTAGCTCGCATTGCATTGCTGAAGAGTCTGAAGTTTGATCTGTTGAACATAAAGCCATCATAGTTATGGAGCAAAACATTTTTATATTCCCTATGTCCCATCATTTTGACTAAGGTACATACTCCCTCTGTACCAGTCCTTTTGTCCAGTATTTCTTTTTGGGCCGTCTCAGCATATTCATCCACTATTTTTGGTAAAGTAATAAAGGTTACAATGACAGATATACCCCTGCAAGGGCTAGCCGAATTGAGAATTACGCGGTATCTTCTTCTGTCTTCTTCAATCAATGAGCAAATATCTTCTTCCAGAATTATCCTCTTCAAACAGCTACGCAGAGCTTCTTACTCCGGCGAGAGAGATCTGTACTCAGGCGACGCCGATATTCCTATTCCGGCGAGATAGATCTATCTGCTGCCGTTGCATCTCCAAGCTTATTGCTCAGATCTATTCTTCGGCAACCGCAGATGCTATAGCGAGAAACCTAACCTTTTCTGGCTCTAAGATGATGTCCTGTCATCTTTCAGTGGCGATGTATAAGTTTTTCTCTTTTCTTTAAGTGTTTGCACTTTGTTTTTCTTTTTTCTTTTTTAATTAAGTATGAACCAGATCTACTCCGAGAGAACAAGGACCCGATTGTTTCAAAGGCTATTTTTCATAAAAAAATACAGATTTCCGACAACAAACATGATTCCAAGAGAATAGTGAGGCAATTGGTGCCACTGATTTCTGCAAGGGCGGTAACGATCTCCGGTGAAGGGAGGACAGCGGCCATGATCTCCGGTGAAGGGAGGACGGCAGTGACGATCTCCAGGGAACGTAACAGAGGAGAAGCCAACTTCAGTTCTTACTTTGGATTGTTTCAACTTAGTGTGCCCATAATTTCAATAGGGATATTTTAGACATTTCTCCCTACTTTCTCTTTTTCCAAAAGTGGACGAATACACCGGGATGGAGGCAGTATTTCATAAGTCATCATTCCTACATAAATTTCTCTGTTTATCTGTCGATCTAAGTCTTAAACTATTTCATCACATTACATCTTTTAGACTTTTTGTTTGTGAATTACAATAGCATAATTGAAAATTCCACATTTCCACCTCAAAGTATTGGTTCAAGGAAGCAAATCACAGGAACAAATATGAGAGCTTGCCTTGTAATGTGACTCTTATAGGGATGAAAAATGATTTTAAAACATGAATCTTTTTTGGCATACATTTTTTGTTTACCTATTTTCCTTTAAATTTAAGAACTAGATTTGCTCTCTCTGGTACAACTATGACATTGTGATAAGCCTCCAATCAGATTGGTATATTCAAGAAGGAAAAAGAAGATGGCAAAGGGTGGGCCGGCAGAAGTGGAGCAGCTCAAAATGTTAATGGGCATTTCAAACAACCCACTAAGTGGCTGAGTGGGTGGGTTACGTGGCAGTTACCAACTCCCCTGGGAGTGGGTTTATTACTTAGTGTCATGTTATTTTCTTATGTGATTATCTTTTATTGTATTTTCCTTTGAGAATCTGGAGACTATCCCTTCTCGAATTGGGACTTGATGTACCTTTTTTAATTCTAAATTCAATCAAGCTCAAGCTTTATCATTTGGTTCCGTTTCCGGGAACATCGAATGGCACCAACAACCCGGAGTAACCAATCGGAAGGCGGGGGTGCAGAACCTGACCCCATTTCCGTCCAGTTAGCCGCCATCGCCGAGAGACTAGCCATCATGGAATCCCTGAAAGACGACGTCGCCGCCCTCAAGTCTCATGCTTCATCTTCTAGTAACAGCGGTTTTAAACGTGGTCATAAAG